ACACGCTACATTAAATTATGCTATACGAGATCAACTAAAGAATCCTTCGGAGTACTTCAAGGTTTGACCATATGTTTCGTGTGTCTAAAGAAACTCTTATGATTGTTTTTCTTCCAGAAGGTCATTCTACGGCATTTCTGGCTTAAGCGGCACGCTATCATAAGACAAGCGAAGAACTGGATCGTGGAGATGAGGAAGGACGCAGCAGAAGCTGAGCGAAATCCGAAGCGCAGGGAAAGCCTCACATTCGAGAGCCTCTACAATCCCTATCATCAAGTGAATCCTAAATTGTACAATTTTTGGTAGTTTTTTTTTTTGATGATTTGACGTTTTTAGGAGCGTTCGATTCAGCAGCTGATAAACGAGCTTTCGGCTATGCAGTGTCCTGTGGATCAATGCAAGTTTTTTTCTTTTATTATGCAAATAACATTAATTAAAATTACAAGAATTTCCTAATATGTCATGGTAGCCGAAAATTTGCGTAGTTTATTTTTGTTAAGTAATGGCAATCTTAAAATTGCACTTTTTCAGAGAACAAAGCTTTGCATTTCTTTCGGATGTCCTGAGCACGTTGAATAGGCGGGTACTACTATGAGTTTATGTTTGCCAGCCATCTACGCCTTGTGATAGGAAATACTGAACTCCACTGCGCCAATGTTCCAAGATGTTCTCAAAATGGCATTTTAATTTGCATAAGTGAAGACACGCCGCCTTCTGCTGGACCGAGTTTTTGGCGTTCCCCAGTTTTTGCAGGAAAAGTGCTCCTAGTGAAATTTCACCGCAGCATTTCATAAGCTACTGTCTTTAAATGATATCATTCTTCACAATTTGCTTGAGCGTTTTATGGGCGCTTTTCGAGAAGAAATCTCTGGTTTTGCATCATCTGCAACAACGTGTGCCTGAGGATCTATTTGTAAAACGGTTTCCATTTTATCGATCTACTATATTTTAACTATATGAGCCGTTCATATATCCTAGTAAAATCTTTCATAATTCTGAGGATTTGAAGCTCATGGTCGCCTTTGATGTGTCACGGGATAGCGCCGAGATTTGACCGTTTTTACAGCATCTGTTTCCTGATAATATGTGTTAGTTGCTTTCTACTACGTCTAACCAGAACATATCTGATTTTCTACGGTTTTGAAACTCCTGCGGGTAAATACTGTTGAAACCATTATCCTTGTATGCTGATCTCATAACTTGCACGGAGATCCCTCTGAATGATGTTCTGATCAAAATTAACTCAATTGTCTTTCGAACATGCGTTGTTTTCATTCTCTTAGGTATCTTTTCGTAATGCAGTGATATGTGTGTATGCACTGTTTACTTTTCACAAGAAAACATGCCATTTGCAATGTTTCAATTTTTATAAATGAGTACTATACGCAATTGATGAGATGAAAAAAGATAGGTTCCACAAATTTGAAAATTATACCACCCTTCATTGCTAAGCTTACGTTTGGTGTAGAATTCTTTGCAAAACGCCGGCCCTAAACCTATTTGCAAAGCTATGGCAAGTTACATTCTGTACGTGAAAGATCTATCTTGGGGGTAGCTACGCCAAATAATTATCTGAGAAGCTCAAATTCTGGTTAAATCCTAAGTGCACAAGCAAAATATGTGACTTTTGTTTAAAAGAAAAATCACGCATTGAGAAAAAAAAATGAAAATGAGTAGGTTTGAGAAGTTGGGAGTTGGTTTTAGAATTGTTTAAGCATGGTAACCAAACTTAATACAAAAAAATCAATATGATGATAAAGAGCAATCAACTAGAATTGTGCACCTCAGTCACGTATCTCCCCCTTTGATATTAAGAATCAGAAGTATAAGGTCTAATATGTGGTAAACAGCACAACATTTATTACCTTTAGGTGCTTAATAGGTACCTCTAAGTGTGGGTATCGATCACTCATAGCTAAAGATTTTAGTTGCGGCTTGCTCAATACAAGGTAGCATTGCTACATAGTTCGGTAGACTCCTGGTAAGCTGTTGAGCATTAAATATCTAAAGTGGTTCGCACTACAGGTAGCGCTATCCTGCGATAATAAGGCTGCCCTAGCCGAAAAAGAAATCCCTCTGATAAGGAAATCAGATAGTGTAGGATGGACTATCTCTGACTCAATTTCAAGTCAGCATAAAATATTAGTATAAATATTAACAGTGCTTACATGTTATTCATGTCAATCAATAGAAATACCATCGCAGACGAACAAGAT